GACACCCTGTAATTGGGTATTATATCACATCGGTAGTTAAACATTAAACTCAGTTAGTATCCTTTTCTGGGACACCCTGTAAGTGAGTATTATATCACATCGGTAGTTAAACCTTAAACTCAGGTGGTATCCTTTTCTGCGAAACCCTGTAATTGGGTATTATATCACATCGGTAGTTAAACCTTAAATTCAGGTTGTATCCTTTACTGGAACACCCTGTAATTGGGTATTATATCACATCGGTAGTTAAACCTTAAACTCAGGTGGTATCCTTTTCTGGGAAACCCTGTAATTGGGTATTATATCACATCGGTAGTTAAACCTTAAAATCAGGTGGTATCCTTTTCTGGTACACCCTGTAATTGGGTATTATATCACATCGGTAGTTAAACCTTAAACTCAGGTGGTATCTTTTTCTGGGACACCCTGTAATTGGGTATTATATCACATCGGTAGTGAAACCTTTAGTTCAGGTGGTATCCTTTACTGGGACACCCTGTAATTGGGTATTATATCACATCGGTAGTTAAACCTTAAATTCAGGTGGTTTCTTTTTCTGGGACACCCTGTATTTGGATTTTATATCACATCGGTAGTTAAACCTTAAATTCAGGTGGTATCCTTTACTGGGACACCCTGTAATTGGGTATTATATCACATCGGCAGTTAAACCTTAAACTCAGGTGGTATCTTTTTCTGGGACACCCTGTAATTGGGTATTATATCACATCGGTAGTTAAACCTTAAATTCAGGTGGTATCCTTTTCTGGTACACCCTGTAAACGGGTATTATATCACATCGGTAGTTAAACCTTAAACTCAGGTGGTATCCTTTTCTGGGAAACCCTGTAATTGGGTATTATATCACATCGGTAGTGAAACCTTTAGTTCAGGTGGTATCTTTTTCTGGGACACCCTGTAATTGGGTTTTATATCACATCGGTAGTTAAAACTTAAATTCAGGTGGTATCCTTAACTGGGACACCCTGTAATTGGGTATTATATCACATCGGTAGTTAAACCTTAAACTCAGGTGGTATCTTTTTCTGGGACACCCTGTAATTGGGTATTATATCACATCGGTAGTTAAACCTTAAAATCAGGTGGTATATTTTTCTGGTACACCCTGTAAACGGGTATTATATCACATCGGTAGTTAAACCTTAAACTCAGGTGGTATCCTTTTCTGGGAAACCCTGTAATTGGGTATTATATCACATCGGTAGTTTAACCTTAAATTCAGGTGGTATCCTTTACTGGGACACCCTGTAATTGGGTATTATATCACATCGGTAGTTGAACCTTAAATTCAGGTGGTATCTTTTTCTGGGACACCCTGTAATTGGGTTTTATATCACATCGGTAGTTAAACCTTAAATTCAGGTGGTATCCTTTACTGGGACACCCTGTAATTGGGTATTATATCACATCGGTAGTTAAACCTTAAACTCAGGTGGTATCTTTTTCTGGGACACCCTGTAATTGGGTATTATATCACATCGGTAGTTAAACCTTAAATTCAGGTGGTATCCTTTTCTGGTACACCCTGTAAACGGGTATTATATCACATCGGTAGTTAAACCTTAAACTCAGGTGGTATCCTTTTCTGGGAAACCCTGTAATTGGGTATTATATCACATCGGTAGTTAAACCTTAAATTCAGGTGGTATCCTTTTCTGGGACACCCTGTAATTGGGTATTATATCACATCGGTAGTTAAACCTTAAACTCAGGTGGTATCTTTTTCTGGGACACCCTGTAATTGGGTATTATATCACATCGGTAGTTAAACCTTAAATTCAGGTGGTATCCTTTTCTGGGAAACCCTGTAATTGGGTATTATATCACATCGGTAGTTAAATCTTAAATTCAGGTGGTATCCTTTTCTGGGACACCCTGTAATTGGGTATTATATCAAATCGGTAGTTAAACCTTAAACTCAGGTGGTATCTTTTTCTGGGACACCCTGTAATTGGGTTTTATATCACATCGGTAGTTAAACCTTAAATTCAGGTGGTATCCTTTTCTGGGAAACCCTGTAATTGGGTATTATATCACATCGGTAGTTAAATCTTAAATTCAGGTGGTATCCTTTTCAGGGACACCCTGTAATTGGGTATTATATCACATCGGTAGTTAAACCTTAAACTCAGGTGGTATCTTTTTCTGGGACACCCTTTAATTGGGTTTTATATCACATCGGTAGTTAAACCTTAAATTCAGGTGGTATCCTTTTCTGGGACACCCTGTAATTGGGTATTATATCACATCGGTAGTTAAACCTTAAACTCAGGTGGTATCTTTTTCTGGGACACCCTGTAATTGGGTATTATATCACATCGGTAGTTAAACCGTAAAATTCAGGTGGTATCCTTTTCTGGGAAACCCTGTAATTGGGTATTATATCACATCGGTAGTTAAATCTTAAATTCAGGTGGTATCCTTTTCTGGGACACCCTGTAAATGGGTATTATATCACATCAGTAGTTAAACCTTAAACTCAGGTGGTATCTTTTTCTGGGACACCCTGTAATTGGGTTTTATATCACATCGGTAGTTAAACCTTAAATTCAGGTGGTATCCTTTTCTGGGACACCCTGTAATTGGGTTTTATATCACATCGGTAGTTAAACGTTAAACTCAGGTGGTATCCTTTTCTGGGAAACCCTGTAATTGGGTATTATATCACATCGGTAGTTAAACCTTAAATTCAGATGGTATCCTTTTCTGGTACACCCTGTAAACGGGTATTATATCACATCGGAAGTTAAACCTTAAACTCAGGTGGTATCCTTTTCTGGGAAACCCTGTAATTGGGTATTATATCACATCGTTAGTTAAACCTTAAATTCAGGTGGTATCCTTTTCTGGGACACCCTGTTATTGGGTATTATATCACATCGGTAGTTAAACCTTAAATTCAGGTGGTATCCTTTTCTGGTACACCCTGTAAGCGGGTATTATATCACATCGGTAGTTAAACCTTAAACTCAGGTGGTATCCTTTTCTGGGAAACCCTGTAATTGGGTATTATATCACATCGGTAGTTAAACCTTAAACTCAGGTGGTATCTTTTTCTGGGACACCCTGTAATTGGGTTTTATATCACATCGGTAGTTAAACCTTAAATTCAGGTGGTATCCTTTTCTGGGACACCCTGTAATTGGGTTTTATATCACATCGGTAGTTAAACCTTAAACTCAGGTGGTATCCTTTTCTGGGAAACCCTGTAATTGGGTATTATATCACATCGGTAGTTAAACCTTAAATTCAGATGGTATCCTTTTCTGGTACACCCTGTAAACGGGTATTATATCACATCGGAAGTTAAACCTTAAACTCAGGTGGTATCCTTTTCTGGGAAACCCTGTAATTGGGTATTATATCACATCGTTAGTTAAACCTTAAATTCAGGTGGTATCCTTTTCTGGGACACCCTGTAATTGGGTATTATATCACATCGGTAGTTAAACCTTAAATTCAGGTGGTATCCTTTTCTGGTACACCCTGTAAACGGGTATTATATCACATCGGTAGTTAAACCTTAAACTCAGGTGGTATCCTTTTCTGGGAAACCCTGTAATTGGGTATTATATCACATCGGTAGTTAAACCTTAAATTCAGGTGGTATCCTTTACTGGGACACCCTGTAATTGGGTATTATATCACATCGGTAGTTAAACCTTAAATTCAGGTGGTATCCTTTACTGGGACACCCTGTAATTGGGTATTATATCACATCGGTAGTTAAACCTTAAACTCAGGTGTTATCTTTTTCTGGGACACCCTGTAATTGGGTATTATATCACATCGGTAGTTAAACCTTAAATTCAGGTGGTATCCTTTTCTGGTACACCCTGTAAACGGGTATTATATCACATCGGTAGTTAAACCTTAAACTCAGGTCGTATCCTTTTCTGGGAAACCCTGTAATTGGGTATTATATCACATCGGTAGTTAAACCTTAAATTCAGGTGGTATCCTTTTCTGGGACACCCTGTAATTGGGTATTATAGCACATTGGTAGTTAAACCTTAAACTCAGGTGGTATCTTTTTCTGGGACACCCTGTAATTGGGTATTATATCACATCGGTAGTTAAACCTTAATATCAGGTGGTATCCTTTTCTGGGAAACCCTGTAATTGGGTATTATATCACATCGGTAGTTAAACCTTAAATTCAGGTGGTATCCTTTTCTGGGACACCCTGTAATTGGGTATTATATCACATCGGTAGTTAAACCTTAAACTCAGGTGGTATCTTTTTCTGGGACACTCTGTAATTGGGTATTATATCACATCGGTAGTTAAACCTTAAATTCAGGTGGTATCCTTTTCTGGGAAACCCTGTAATTGGGTATTATATCACATCGTTAGTTAAACCTTAAATTCAGGTGGTATCCTTTTCTGGGACACCCTGTAATTGGGTATTATATCACATCGGTAGTTAAACCTTAAATTCAGGTGGTATCCTTTTCTGGGACACCCTGTAATTGGGTATTATATCACATCGGTAGTTAAACCTTAAACTCAGGTGGTATCTTTTTCTGGGACACCCTGTAATTGGGTATTATATCACATCGGTAGTTAAACCTTAAATTCAGGTGGTATCCTTTTCTGGGAAACCCTGTAATTGGGTATTATATCACATCGGTAGTTAAACCTTAAACTCAAGTGGTATCCTTTTCTGGGACACCCTGTAATTGGGTATTATATCACATCGGTAGTTAAACCTTAAACTCAGGTGGTATCCTTTTCTGGGAAACCCTGTAATTGGGTATTATATCACATCGGTAGTTAAACCTTAAATTCAGGTGGTATCCTTTTCTGGTATACCCTGTAAACGGGTATTATATCACATCAACTCATTTCGCCCTATCTCTTACTGAAATGGTTGAAACGAAGTGATAAATTACTCAGATATGAGTCTTGATGTACTACTGTAACGACTCAAAAACAGCGCGAATAAACTAGGAAAAAAATCGTTTCTAGATATTTCTTTCAGGTTTTTAAGACAACAAAACATAATTTAACAGCACATGTACAAATATAATTGCACTTTATAGAAGTAACATTTCAGAGATAACTCAACAAAATTATGCTAGTTTATCAGTCATTTATAAGATTTTTCATTTGTCAATCTATCTGTAAGCTTTTTAATTTTCATTGATTACTGTGATTTTCGTAGCCACATTGCTTACTGTGCTCTGTGGTCTTCGTAGCCATATCTGTGGATGGCTTTGCCAGTTGAAGTATTTTCTTCCAGTTCATGCGAGTAGATGTCTCCTTCTCCTACGGGGTCGTTGAACATTGGGGTCCACCTGTTCACTGCATAATTCCGACCCCACCTAAAAAGAAAATCCAGTTAGTCTTCAATCACTTGTGATACCACACATATATAGCATTGCAAACTGGCAGACAGAAAATGAAACAAAAGCCACTCATTCGAAAAACAATTAGAACATTTCGAAAACCTGAACTACAAAATTTCCATAATTTTATCTGGAATGATGTTCAATTTGAAAACACAATAGCTGGTGATTAATAAGTATTCAGACACAAAAATTGATCGGCAACTAAGCCGGCAAAAGTTGGTTAGACTTCCGTTGAGCAAAATTCTTTTCAATTGAAAAACTATTGAAAGTTCAGAAAACCTAAATTTTTAACCTCCTCCATGTGTGCCTAAAATTTTGATGTAAGCCAAGCTATCACATAATTTTCAGTAAGCATTTTGTAAAAGAAAAAAATTCCCTGATGCGGCAACTAAGCCGACAAAACATAATCAGACTAACGATAGTCCGAAAGTTTTTGTGAAACGGAATATTTTGTCTTCAATAGCTTAAGACGTTACGTCTTAAAAAAACTGCCAGAAGTAACAGTAGACCGAAAGAACTTAAAATTGCACGTATGCACGAGAATGAAGTCTAGTGATTCAAGTGATTTTGTTAACAAGTTGTTAGCCCGAAAAAAAGTCAATATTCCAGTTTGATAACGCTTGCTTATCGCACGCGTAAATACATCAGTTAAAATACTAGAACAGAACATATTTCCCAACAAACCTAACATATTTCCGAACAGAACATAAGGCAAAGGCGTAGAGCTAAACCAAAGTCTCTTCCCCCTCCCCCCACCTGCAGGAGGAAAAAGAACCTATAACGTTAATTATGGAGATCAAATATGTTTGGAACAGCCTAATTAGTCCGCATGTCAATTTTCAAAACGATCGGACATTGTGAACAGTAACTTTACTTGTAAAAAAAATGCAGGAGGGGGAAAGGAAAAAGAGCCAAAATTGCTGCAATTGATAACAATATACCAGATTGTTTCAATTAAATAATTACGTTTTTTGGTTAACTGAATTTATTGAGGCAATACATCAGTACCAAAAATTATCAATTTTCGGCAGTAGAACGTGTTATAAGTCAGCGTTGTTGAACCCCCCTTCTACTTTATTGATATAAAAATGAAAGGGCTCAATCCTTCGACTAAATCTAGACGTCTCAGGTGCGACAGTTCGAACTATATATTACGCAAGAAAAAAACTGCTCTCAAACGAAAGGGAGTAACAAAAAATGAAATTCTATGAGGAGCGCTATCAGAACTATAAAAATGATCCATAGTTTGCCCCCCCCCCCCCGGAATTAAACCCCATCAGCAACAAAGTGTCCTCTTTTGGTATTATTTTATGACATCCGTTTTAGGCCGACCAAACCGTTTAACTTATTCAAAGCGCCCTCGGCGCCAGGGTCAAAAATTTTTCAAAAAGTGCCCAAAAACGGTTAAAATGGTTTTTTAGTGTTCCCAGAGTGCTTGGAAAAATCAGTTAGGTCGACCCAAAAAAGGTCGACAAATTTTTGTAAATCGACCCCCCTCACCTCGAGAAAATCCTAGATCTGCCCCTGGCTCCATTGCAACTGAGTTCGAACTGTCGCGCCTGATATGTCCGAGTAATCTTCGTTAATTATTCTATACCGATTCGAAAATTCAAGGACGCTAACTTTTCGAACACTTTGAACTCTAATGAGCAGTCATCGTCTGATCCAAATTCCTCCGTTGCGTCGAATATCATGAGCATGGCCCCATGCAGCATATTCCCACTCACATAACGCCCATTTCTTTTACCCATGAAGAACACAGTACCCAGGATGTCTGAGAAGGGGGAGAGACCTAAAAGCGGTACAGAAAAAAACTTGAGACTCAAGGGAAAAGAAGAAAAAAAGCCTTTTTCAAATTTCGAAGAACTTTTTCCACCTTCCGAATTTCGCAGAAAAATGCATCCGTTGAAGCTCTTAAAGTTAAAAGTAATTTTTATGACAAGCACTTTTTATAATATTAGCTCAATTTGAAAAAACTGCGTGATATCGAAATGGTAAGTATTGCATTTCTATTTTCGTTATTTAAGAACGTAATTTACCTTCTTTTTAGCAAATAATTTGCATTAAGTTTAAAAAACCAGACGACAAACGGTGAATAAATCTAACTTAAGCTTGAACAAATTGTCAGATTTTCCAGGAAAATTGCAAAAAATATTAATACGACCTATCTGTGTCTTCGCTTCAAATTTCCGTCAAAAAAACCAGCCTATTACGTTCATTTTTTACTTACACCAACTCCATTAGAAATAATTTTGTTTCACTGATAAATCTAAAAAATGTAAATCCGTTTTTCGAACTGAAGGTCAAGCTTCAACTTTGGCGCAATTTTCATTTCTGTTTTTGAGTAGTTAGATATCAATAGCCAAAAAGAACAAATTTCAAGGACTTTTTCGTTGCAAAAAAAAACATTCATAACACGCGCTCTAACGAATTTATTTCACTTCGTTCATCACTACTCAATTTTTAGATCAAATGTGTCGGTGGATGTTTTAAAGACACTATGTGATAACACATAAGTATATGAACTTAATTAACCTGTGGTGAGGGTTACTCCGAGGTATACTGCGAGTCCATTCAGAGTCCGTTCTCCTCCATTGGGACCAAAATCCTCCCGATTTTTGAAGCCGCAACATCTCAGGAAATGACCTGGGAAAAGTTGAACAGTTATGTAATTATTTCAAAACTCGATTCAAACGGAATCTGATTTTCAAGCTATTTATGGTTCAGTTTGGCTTCAAAATGCGTGTTTTGTAAGATAAATGGGTAGTATGCCGCGCCATTACGGTATAATTCCATCTCCATAGCCAAAATCTGAAAAAAAAGACTAAAAAAACAATCATCTCTGTAAGCACACACTATTATAATTTGAAAAAATTGAAAATTGGAAATAATTTACCTTCTGGATAGAATTCATGACTGTTTGGATTAGCAAACAACTCACACTCCGTCCATCCCATTACCTGGGTCAAAAACGGCATCTCGGTCAACTTAGTCAAATTCGCATTTTCTCTACTCGTCTGCAAACTATTAGCAACATGTTTCAAGGCTTCTTTTTTCGTGTCGAAAAAGTGGTTGATCACGTGGTTACCTAAGCCACGTCCTTGGGCACTTTTGACTTCCAAAAGCACAACTACGTTTTCCGATTCACTGGCTTTTCGGAGGATGTTGCTCTTTTGAACGGCGCTACATGACGGTCGATGTAATTTCCAGTTGGCCTTTTGATGCGCGAAGGAGCAGTAAAACACTGCGTAACATCCGGTGCATGCCTTTAAGTTGGTTTTCACACTACACGTTTCGCATGACTTTTCAAGCTCGCTGACTTTCGACTCTGAAACATCGCCCATTTTCTTGGGTCAAGGAGAAATCTTTTGTGTATCGATCGACACTCAATCTTTAAACACAACTGCAGATAGCAAAACGCATGTGGAAAAATTTTACTTGCACTACCTTTAATTGTCAAAAGAAATTCTGCACAGTGATTAGTTGTCAAAAGTCAGCACAATGATTATGCACTTAAGACAAATTCAGTAGAATGACTGATTGAAACTAAAGGATTATACGCATAAAACTGTAGTCGCATAAAATAAAAAGAAAATCATTGAGAACTTTACAGCTCGAACTTTCTGTCTTCAAAACATGCAATACTCATTTGTCTTCAAAAATTACTCTTCGATAAATCACTTTTTTGTTTATAAAACTAATTCTTTATTGAAAAAGAATGCAAAAAAAGCCTTAAAAATACAGCAATTTGTTAAAACCAATTTGACGTATTTTCGGAAGATAAAATATTCTGCAATATATTTGATTTGACATTTGGGTCCAGTTCGAGTCCAAAACAATTTAAAATCATAATTTCTCTCGATGAAAGTCCGTGGTATTCTATGACCTCAAAGATGTACCTAACTAACCAATGGCATCTCATGAAACTGCTGTAACCTGGATGCCTGTTACAAAATATCAGACAAAAATTTTGAATTTAATTGAGTAAAATTAAGTTTTCAAGGCCTAAATTAAACAAAATTAGGCTATTGTAAGCCTGCTGCTCGCTCGCATTTTTCGTTCTTATTTAGACTAAAATAAAAAAACCTTAACCTGTCTTTCTAATTACTGGAAGAAGGTTTTAATGTCGTTCGAAACCCGACTGAAAGGGCTTTAATATGATATATAACTCGATCCATTCTGCCAAAAAATATTTGTGGTACCTGATTTTGCGTGGAAAAGAAAACTAAAACACAAATGGTCTGAATAATAACCAAATGCAAAAATAGAGGAAAATAGCATACACCTTAAAATTCAAAATCGGAGCGCTCAGGCGATTAGGCCATGTTCTAAGAATGGAGATAGGATGATTAACCAAACAAGTCGTCTTGGGTTGACCGCACCCTGAAATCAAAACAATATAACAAAAAAGTACAAAGTTTGCTAACTGTAGAACCCATCACACTATAGACTGGGTAGATGCTATAACGACCACAATAGACAGAAACGAAAACCAGAAAAAAAACAAGTGTAAACCTAACATCCGTAATGTTCAACAAAAGATGCAGAACGCAGACAGGACTGAAAATCCATAATACAAAAAATCATAGGCGCAAAAGAGAAGAGTAGAAAGGTAGCAATTTCTAGACAACCCTGACTGCAAAGAGACCGCGAAAAAGTGTGCGTAGGAGTAAAACCAGGTGTTTGTCCCTTCTGCAACAAAAAGGCGGTTACCAATCTAGCGAGGAAGATAAAAGATATACCCAAAAAGACTATTGTAAGAAGGAAACCGCCTCACATTAGGAAAATTAAAGGGAGACGATTTTGCGAAAAACCATCCTTGCATGTCACGAAGAATTCAAGAAGCCTTACAAAGATCAATTCCATCATCATTAACAATTTCCAGATAAAAAATAAGGATGACACAAACACAACAAAAAAACTATGACTATGACGATTTACAATGTTCCAGAAGCAAAAACAAAAATGTCACAAATTTGAGATCTAGGTAAAAAAAAACATTATGGGAGCTCGATTTTACCTTCTTCATATAAATTAAACGTATATATTTTAAACGTAAAAGCTGGAAAGCTTATATCAGGAAAACCCTTACCGAAGACACATAGAAGATTTCGAGTACAATTAACATTTTCAAAATTTGAAAAAAAACTTGCAAAACTTACTCACTTCAGATCATATCAACTTTTCACACCAAATCTACTTCTTACCTGGATAGAAAAATTTGAAATCCGCAGTGAAAAAAAAAATCAAATCTAGCTTCAAACCATAAACTTTATTTTTTAACAAAGGGAAAAAGACAGAAACTTTCCGAACAGCTTAAAACGAGCTTTTTAAAGAACTTACTTGTTCGTTTTTTGACCAAATGAACTCGATGAAACCAACAAGGTAGATCGTAACGAGAAAGCGCTAAAAATAAAATGCGGAAGCAATACAATGTATGAGTTTATAAAGGTTTGAAGCTTACATTTTAATGGACAATTCACAATCATGAGATTAGGAAGGGGTAAAACTGCCACGCATTGAAGCTGTTAAACGTTCTTCTTCATCTCAATTTAATACCATTGAAACCATCATTCTATAAATAAACACTTCAGTGCGTTCAATGTGTGGCAAAAAAAAAACAATTTCCCTTCCAACGTCAACGTTACAAACTGCAATAAAAAATATTTTCAGTATTTCAATTAATAGTGTTGGGTAGCTTCTGGTTAAAGAATGATAAACTATCATAAAAACATCAAAAAATGCTTATCCGAATACTAGAATAATCATTTTAGGTTTAAGTCGTGGTCGTTAATATCGTTAACGAACTTTTTCATTCAATTTAAAACGGACCCAATTTTGCTTGAAGAAACGTATATTGGGAAATTTAGATCAAGTGATGTCTATGAAAACCAAACATGTACCAACCTTTTACCACGATGTCTCGTTGAGAGGAAATAACAATATCAGGCGACAGGAAAACAATTAAATATGGCCCAAAAAACTCAAATTATTTCAGACTAACCAGACGCGTTTTAAAGCCCAAATTGATTTCAGCAGCACGCTAAAAGTAGATGTGAATGTCAAAGGGCGATCCAATTACTGTTTTGTGAATTCAATTAAAGGAGTGAATTCGGTTCATTGCAGTTTATCTGAAAAGATTCAGTTCATCATTATCAACCAACATTTCAACGGGTTAAATAGTACTGTCTGCTTAGAATGCACAACCTTTAGATATCAAACACATATTTGGTGTTTATTAAAGGATTCTATATTGCTGAGCGCAGAAAGGCCAACAAAAGACACGAAAAAACTTAATAGGGGTATCCGAGTCCCCTTTTCCTGAAGGTTTGATTTCTTATTGCTAATTTAATTTTACTCCCCATTTCATTAAAATATCTATGATGGGTCCTAGACGATAGGATTCCTAGGGGGTTGTGGGTTCTAGGGGACTTGGGTTGCGAGAAAAGATAATTGTAACGATGCTAATTGTACGAAATTTCGTAAAAGGAACCTTGGCAAACCTTTGGTAAATTTCGGCATTTAAGACAAAACTATCAGAACCTGAACAAATCTGACAGCCTAATGCGTGCAACAAAGTTTGAACTCAATTTTAAGTCGTTGATATAAAATCATTGATTTTTTGGAAGCACATACACTTGCATCTCAATCTGAAAAGCACAAACAATAGCATTTTATGAACCCTGTTTTTATGATTAACCGATTAATTGTTCACTTTGAACCCATATATCCAGGCGCGGATTTAGGAATTTCTCGAGGGGGGGGGGGTGGATTTTCAAAACTTTTTTTAAGGTCGCCCAAATCTCCTAAATCTCTATAAAGACCCTAATTTGACCAAATTTTCGGCACCACAGACAAATTTTTTTAAAAAGGCCAAAAACGGCGTTTTTAGGCACTCTTTGGAAAATTTCGACCAAAAAAATCGCGTTTTTTGGCGCGCGCTCTCCCCTCAAAACTAATATAGATTGGCGCTCGAGGCGCCTTTACAAAAATTTTAAGGTCAGTCAGCCAAAGATGGATATCTCAAAATAGTAAAATGGGGAAACCCTTTGGGTCGACAGGTGGTCGAATCCCAGAAGGGGGCGTCCGCCCTTCTCCTTCTCCGCCGCCTTCCCCCTAAATCCGCTACTGCAATATCCAGGGAAATTGCTGCTTCAAGGAAATTGCTGCAAATTGTTTCTACTTTGAAGAGCGAGATGCAGTTTTGTCTTTATGAACAGAGTTTTGAAACTTTCCTCGACAGGTGTACAGAAACCGGAAACCTCCTTCCATTTGCAACGAACTTGGTTAAAGTAAGTCGTCTTGAACTTGGGAAGATAGACATTCCAGGGTTTTAATATTATAAAATGCTTTACCACAGAGGAATTGCATTGACTTCAAATCACACATTAGGGATAAACGTACACAAAATATACAATGCAAACAAATCTCATACCAGCAGTTTCTTTATGGTACTTTTAAATTTTTAATAACAAATTTAAACACAGAGGCGAAGCTGAGCTTCGCACCACTTGCGATACAAAAGGAAAGTTTAAAAAAATCAAAAAGATCGAAAAAACCAGATCTATTAAATGAATGAAGCTAGTTTTGAAACAAAAACATGCCAAGACAATAGAATGTGTACTAAGCATCGGAAGATAATGTATCCAGCGGTAGCAACGCCGAAAATACCTCGTCAGAAACCTTGTCAGAAGTCGAAAAAGAACAAGACTTCAAACTTCTGAAAACTTAATAAGTCCACCTCACCCTCAAAACACTGGTGAAATGAATAATTGTGAGCCCACCTAGCTGATATAAAATAGGCCGAAACCTATCAAGCCCAAAAAAAATGAAAATGAAAACAGCCGAAAGAAAATTTATAAAATCTAAAAGTAATAAAAAGTTATAAGTCCCCCTCAGCCTCAAAACACAGACACGCATACACAAAACTTTTTGTGATAGTCGAAAGATGCAATATGAGGCCGATAAGCCGATATAATGTACACCGAAACCTATCAAGCCGAAAAAGGAAAAGTCGGAAAAAATTGTTAGCATGAAAAACTATTTAAGCACTTTGTGCAATCCAGAGATGAGCATTGAAAATATGCTTCTGTTGAAACGACTTACAACTAGATCACTAAGCCGATAAAAAATAGCCCCAAATCATATCGGCAGAATAAAGTTTTTAAACGAATATACGAGGTCAAGTTTAGTAAAAAAAAAATACTTAAAGCACAGAGCGAAATCAGAACTATAATGTGAAAAAAAAAAACGTTAGACAAACTATACAATATGGCAACTGAGTCGACAAAACATCAGCAGACAATCTTCAGCCGACAAATTTTTTGAAACGGACTATTGCCAGTTTTCTTTTAAAAAAAAAACAGGCCCGCTCAGTTTCGAACCCAGGACTTTTGGCGCCCCATGCGTATTCGTTACCTCCAGACTAAGTGTGCCGGAGAGACGCTCAAAAATTTGAATTCATTAAGAACCAAGACACCGAATGATTCAAGTGATTCTTTTAAACTAGTTGTTAACCTGAAAAAAGTACATATTTCAGCTTGATAAAGCTTGCTTATCGCAAGCGTAATTATTTCATCTTATGGTTGGCTGCGTGCATTTAACTACTAATCATGACTTTACGATAAGAATCAAATGACTTCTGCTCTAAATGGCTTTGGAGAAAAGTGGTTTCTACCGTCAAAATTCAACGGTAAACACAGATTTTACATAGATTTTACATATTATTCACTTTCCGATTAAAATTTTCAAAAAAAATATCTTTTTTTAAATTTTCCAGAGAATATTCCAACTCAAATATAAAATGTTTTCTTTTCATTTTCGAATAACTTCAAGAATCATTTCTCTACAAAACGACCAGCAAGGCTGTTCCTTTTTCTGACTGTTTTACTTGGACGCATTCTTCTTTACTTTTCTTGCATCTACATTTCTTGAATAACTCGAGAAATTTTTTTGAAAAGTGTAAATGAAATTTGAAATATGTGAAATCTATCAATTAGTTACCACTGAAGTTCGGCAGTAGAAACCAACTCTCTTCCAAGCTATTTAAAACCAAGTCAAGTGGTTCTTCTCGTAAAGTTATGATTGTACTACGAGTCTTACACTAAAAACAAGGTAGAAAGTAAATATAAGCTCAAGAAATCACATTGGTGTAACACGGCTATATAAGTAACAAATGAGCCAATCTGCGGTATTGTTTTTAACCCAAAAACTCATCGTAGATAGTTAATACAGAGGTAAAGCGGAACATTTGCGATACAAGCTAGCGAATAAAAATGAATCGGAAATAACTACGTCAGAAAATCGAAAACTTTGAAAAAAAAAGTAAATATCAACATCAATTGAAACATTATTGACCATAACACAGAAATTGAACACAAAAATTCGACAATTATTTGCGAATTCGTGAAAAAAGAAGCACTTGCTTGTATAAAATAGCAGACGCGGGACTCCATGTATTTTTAATTGGTCATGTATTTCAACTTGAAAGAAGTTTCTCTATATAGTCACCCAAAACTGATATGGAAAGATGGGTAAACGCACCTTATTTGTGCCCAAATGGGTGAACTTTAAAACCATGGTATTTGCTCAAAGAAATTGAAGAAAAAATTCAACAAATTTTCCGCTGCCCTGTAATAATGGCTGATAAAAGTTGAATCAAACCGAAAACACGAAATTGTCCGAAAAAAACACTATCTATTAATATAATTTTCATTTGTTTGTCTCAATTGAAGCTAATTTATAGGAACGCATGTCGAGATAGCCAATTACAACGTTAAACTCAGAGTCGAAGCGGAGTTTCGCGCCAATTGGGATAAAAAACGCGCAAGTTGGTCATTTTAATCGGTAATGAATTTCAACTTAAATCAAGTTTCTCTATAAAGCCACGCAAAATTCACAAGGAAAGATGGGTAAACGCACCTGATTTGTAATCAGAAAATGTTCACAATTGCTTGAACTTTATGAGCATGGTATTTGTTCAACGAATTTGAAGAGAAAATTCAACAACTTTTCCGCTGCCCTGTAAGGATGGCTGAAATGACTTAAATCATACCGAAAACACGGAATTGTCGGAAAAAAACACTATATCTACCAATATAATTTTCATTGGCTTGTCACGAATGATGTTCATTTATGGAATCATTAGTGAAAGAGGGGATATATAAGGTTTTCTCTAGTTGCGATCAGATAAAATCAAAATTTCTACACAGAGGCGAAGCAGAGCTTCGCACCATTTGCGATAACACCTAAAAGCAGCATGACAAAGTAGCAGACCGAAATTGACACGAAAGCCGCTAAATAGCAAAAAAATGACCAAAAATTGCTCATGCCTCCATAAAACAGTTGGGGTCCAGCTAAAGCTGGGATAATCTGTTTTTTTTTGAAATTGTTACACTGCTGTGGAATGAAATTGGTCATTTCAAAGTTAAAAAAACCGGACTTTGCCCAAAACATTAGTTTTTTGTGTACTGCAAATTTCCCAAGGACAAAACGTTTTTCTTAGAATAAAAAATGTTGAATACCCGCTTCTGCAAGAAAAATTGGCAAAACCGGCTCTTTCGATTGAGCTCATCATCTCGGAATTGAAAGTGTAGTTTTTAAGACAGGTCAGAAGGCTTCTGAGAACGATCAAAAATTCAAAATCGTGACTTACCGAGATGCATAACTTTTTTCTGCAAAAAGTAGGTCGTGGCTGCTAAGCAGAGAATGTTCCCAAAACTGAGTTTAACGATTGAACTCTCAACACAAGAACTGGGGGGTTGTTTTTGCGATAACTCAAAAAGTTTCCAAAAAACGGTCCAAGTTTCAAAACTTTGACATTTTTAAAGACCATAACTTTTTTCTAGAAAAATTGAAATGGTCGCTTAGTTAAGGAAGCTTTCAATAGCCTGTTGTTTAAACTTGTCATTTAACCCTTGATATCAGAAAAATTATCGAGAAGAGTCGAAAACTTTCAAAACTTTGATATTTTTGAAGACCATAACTTTTTTCTAGAAAAAATAGGAATCGGTCGCTTAAGATAAAGGGATTTCAATATTCTGTTGTTTAAAGCTGTGATTAAACACTTGATATCAGAACAGTTATCGAGAAAAGTTTCCAAAAAACGGTCAGCAACTCAATCAATTG